TTTCGTTTCAGTGTTGACGTATTTACCGAGCCGCGACATTGTACATTCGTTAAAACAAAGATTTTTATTTAAAGATTTTTATTTTATTTTATTTACAAAGATTATTTTTTCTGTTTAATATTATTGGGTATGTATACATTTGCATTAAATTAATATTAAAATACTAAACGTTTAGGTACCCACGAGTCAAGTTATCAAACTTAATAGTCAATAAATGGCATCCGAATCCATAGTGCCATTGAATTTATCCCATATCAGTTCATTCAGGAAAACACCTTACGACGCAGTAGCACTTCCGGCGATCACAAACTGTTGTTAGTGAGACAAATCTACTTCTCGTCAGCCAGACGATATCTATCTCTCCTTAATTTTCCTGCTCAAACTGATCTTACATATGCGCTACGGCAACAGGTGGTCGACCAATCAGTGTCTCTGCTCGTCTGTAGCTCTACGCTGGGTTAACATATCCTTTTGACTATGGAAAGTTTGACGATTGAACTTTGTGAGTTAGACAATGATTGGGAGCGAAGTGCGAATGTAAAAAGGATCATCATCGCATCCACTCAACCATATTCCGAAATTCTCAATGAAAGAAAACAAAAATGTAAACAATTAAAGATTGATACTTTTTCCGAAAAATGTGAGAGATCCGAAACTAAAATTTTAATAAAAACATTTAACTTTATTTTATAATAAAATACATTTTAAAAATTAAATTTATTTGTACTTTGTATTATATTGTATTAATAAACAAAATTATTTTTTCACTTATGTGGAACCGAACCTAACCCTATACCTCAGTGTAAATATGGGTTTGTTTTACGTTGATTCGATTTGCACCGGCTTTTGTAGGAATGGAACTGCAGCATAAACCGAGGACTACCTGTATTTGTTTTTTTTCATAAGAATTAATGTTTATTTCTATTTGATAGCAGGCTATAAATAATCATAGAATCATAACATTTGGTCTCACACAAAGATAAGAGAAATTTTTAATCAAGTCTGGCCTCAACAGATGCTGTTTACCTATCAGACAGTCTTGGCTTCACATAATATTTACTTTGTACATTAAGCAGGAAATTTTATCATGAGCCAGTATTTGCATCATGTGGGTGTATGACTGATCGTACTGCTCCATGAATCACTAGACAGAACACCCCCAAATTTTTTCATAACTTATAATTTCTTTTATGTTAAATCTTAAAATAGCAACAAGTCTTCTTTAAGAAATCCATAATTTAAGCATTTGAAGTAAACTAACCATAAGTTTCTTTCTAGAATTTGGAGTTTCTTTGAGAAATTTTTATATCTATTGGAAATACACTGACTCTGAACATTAACAAACAACAATTAATTATGAAAAATAACATATATACAACATAAGCTTTAAACTTCTTTCTTCAACATAAGTTTTATTCAGAAAATGTTATTAAATAACTGGTTTTTAAATGAGATGTTTCATGCAGAATTTAGTTAGTGTATTAACTTGATTGTATTTGAGTTATTTCTGTATAATCTAATTACTGTCATTTGATACATTTTTTCAAATTTTTTAATCAATAGATAATGATTCCAATTAAAAATAATATAAATTTTGAAAATATTTCAGACATAATATTTATTTAACTGCTTAATTAGTTTACCTTATTTATTTAGTTATAATGTTCATAAAAGTTATGATAAATAAATAATGTAAATTCCAATTAACGTGAATAATGTGTTTGTTGTAGTGTTTGTTGAAACAGTATTTCAGATGATTATGAATTTTTAATTTATTTTTTAGTGAATTTAATCATAATAACAATAAACAGTTAATAGTGTAATTATAACAAATGGCAAATTTAATAAATTATTATCAAATTAATTAGTATGTATTAAATTATTAATAAGTTTTGTTTTGATGATAATTTATTATTAAAACAAAATATAAAAATATTTTTAATAATAATTTAAAAATAAAGCCAAAAACATAATAATTTAAATAAAAATAAAATAATAATTATAATATTAAAAAATAACTTTAATTGTTTTTGTTATTGAAAAATTCTTCAATTAAAAATATAATAATTTTCTATTTTAGAATTGCTTTTTCTTTAATTAAAATGATTTTAAGTCAGTTTAGTAATAAAGTTAGTTAATATGAAATATTGACATTTATTACATATGATTTTGTTTAATTGGTGATTGTTTGATAATTTAAAAGTAAATTTATTAGAGTTTTAATTTTGGAAAACAGTTTTTAATTTAATTTAATTATAAAATTTGCATGAAAAAATTTTGAAGTTTTTCTTTATTAACATTTAAAATTATGAACAAATATTATTAAAAAAATTAATAAAGCAATAACTTATCATAATTTTATTAAATTTTTATGATTAGACAGCATTAAGAAAATTATTTTTGTTGATGTATTTTTGGATGATCAAACTTTCAGATTAAACAATGATTAAACAAATAATTTAGAAAAAGGAATGTATTAGATTGCATGTCATTTTATAATTTGATTATATTTGGATGATTTAATAACTTCTTTTAAAATACTTTATTAAAAAGGCTTTTAAAGAACTTGTAAAATTAAAAAAATTTTTTAATATATACATATAGGGATATGTCCTGTTTTATGTAGTGGCCGTGGTCAGTATGTAGCAGGAGAATGTTCTTGTAGTCCTGGTTGGAAAGGAAAAGAATGTCAACTTCGTGAAGATGAATGTGAAGTGTCAGATTGTAATGGTCGTGGAGATTGTGTGGATGGTAATTGTCGCTGTTTTCTAGGATACAAAGGAGCACATTGTGAAGAAGGTAAATTTGAAATATTTTTAATGATTATTTAGTTTAAATTGAATTTAATGTGAATAAGATGTAAGAATTTAAGATGAGAATATAACAGCAGAAAATTTTAAAATATCATTTTAAATAAGTTTCAAATATAGTAGTAATAACTTACAAATTAAAACTCAAACGAATCTTAATGAAAATATATTATTTCCAATACTTTTTATGAATATTTGTTGAATAACAAAAATTTTTTGAAAATAATTAAATTTAAAGTTGTCATTTCTGTAAGTAATATTACAGTAGATGCATTTTTTTTAAATATGATATAGTTAGAAATAAATTAATAAAAAGATGTTAATGTAATGTAATGGAAAAAAATGTTACATTGTGAAAGTGTGTGTGTGTAAAACACGTGATAATATGACAAAAAAGATCAAACTGCTTTATTAGTTGAATGAGTTGACAAAGAACAGAATGCCCATCACGGAGACACTTATATACAGATATAATTACAATGTCTCCCCTCTTGTTCGATCTTTCCACGAGAAATTTAACATATACATACAATCCCAATTAAAATTAAGAAACCTATAATTAAACTTAAACCTAATACTATAACTACAAGAAAGAAGGAAGGAAGGTTAGTTAGGAAATCTGGTAGTTAGATCTGTGGGTCCTGAACTGGGTGAATATTGACGGTTCTTACTTTGTGAATGATGAATGTACGATCCATTTGCATCCAAAGGGGGGGTCAAAGCAGTTATTATTGAACGTGTACCGAGGCGGTTCCTTGAAACTCTCCAGAACGGCTATCTCAATTATTTCTTTGTCTTCATTCCTATCTTGTCTATCTTGGCCCTTTCTCTCTTTTGCCTTCTGCCTTATACATGGTTTTCCAGTCACCCTCATGTGACTTCTTTCTCTCATGGCTAACCCAAAAGTGTCCTTTCTCCTCACCTCTATCTAATGATCCCCTCGGGCAGGACCCTTGTCCTGTCCCTTCTGGAGATTGGCCAATCAGGACCCAAGAATATTACAGTTCCTGTCACATGACAAGAAAGTGTTAAAAGCAGAAAGAAGAAGAATTATAGGAAAGAAGAAAGTAGTTCTTATTCTATATTCAGTATAATTATACAACAAAATGGCAGACAGCCATAACATAATAATACAATGATAATTTCACATTTTGTGATTTTTCTATGCATTTTACGAAGCTCTGTAGTATTTAAACAGTTCTAAATTATTCACATTTGGTTATTTGAATTAAATATAATATTTGTTGTTTATTTTACTTTTCTTCATAACAAGAACAATGGCATTTATTATTGTGCCTATTGTGTTGCCCGGTTTTAAAAATATAGAAGTAAAGATATTTGGCTTGAAATGGGATTTGAACATAATTTAAAAAAAAAAAAAAAAAAAAAGAACAATGCCTTAATAAATTCTGCTGTTGTATGAATAGAATTTTGTTAAGATGAGATTTCTTGTTCAATCTTTTGTGTAATGTTACTTATAGGTTATAATAGTTTATTATATATTTTAAAATAGGTTTTTTATAATTAATTCACTTTGTTGACATATTACTGTAATTAAAACTATTTGTACTCTGATCAAGATTAAATTTTGTGTAGCTTTTAAGTTTTTCTAATTTGTTATGAAAGTTGCAAATGACTTTAACATTAAATTTTGATTTTTATCAATTTTACTACAAAATAAAGATTATTCATACTTTAATGTTGACTTTTAATGCAATAAGGAATGACATTAAGGATACAATTTTGTTGTGGAAATTTACTTTTGAAGCATGTAATCCAACTCTCTTAAAATTCCATTGTTTTGATTAAAGTTAATTATGAAAACAAATTTAAAACTATCAGTATATAATTTATTTGGCTATAACTTTTGCCAAGCTTAACTGTATTAATTGAAGGAAAAAATTTTGGATCTTTCTATAGTTATGGTAAAATTAGAAATCAGAATTTATTGTGAGGCCAGCCGATTAGGGGTGAGGTGTTCGACAGCCGAGCGGTTCTTTCAGTCGTGTGGGCGCAGACTGACTTCCTGAGACAGGTTTACCATATAACCGTTTATTAAACATAGAAATTTTCCTTACAGATTACTTGTTAGACGAGGTAGCACCCCAAAGCGCACGGATAAAGTTCAAAATAAAGTTCGTAAAAGTCGGTTTTCGTCACTAGTGGATGGACGCTGTCGGTGAAACACTCGGTGGGCCCCGGGGCGTTGATTACGGCTTTCGGCGGCTTCTCGCGGACGATCCGACGAATCTGTCGATTGCTAGGAGCACCCAGAGAACGATGCTTCCACGATGTTCCAAAATGTCCTTTTTTTT